CATGAGATACTCTGACTGTACACGAGATATACGCAAAAAAGTTAGTGGGTACAGTGACGGTGGAGCTGATCTCAGGACAGTGGAGTCAGAAATGTATTTTGACCCAGGAAATGTGTGTGAAAGCCCAGAAGCTGTCAAAAGGAATTAAAAAGGAAAATCCATACCATGACACATCCTGTTTTTGACGTTCTAGTCTTGTAGTAGGAGTACTAATTAAGTTAATTATTTCTATGTTTGATTATTAGTTTTAAAAGGATTTATGATTTTTAGATTCATCGTGAGAAATTACATTTCTGGCTATGTGAATATACCGGATGAAATAGTAATTCACAGGCTAGGTCCAAATTAATCCTAGTAATTATAGAGGCCCACAATTAATGTTAAGATTTTATTATCACATTGGAAACCAATAAGAAAGGACTTCAACTCAAATAGGCTGCTAACTGAGAGCACCTGTTGAGCGATTGAGGTGGTGGCCATATGTCACCGTGGTGGGAATGTCAAACATGCGCGCGCGCGAAGGCGAGGCGTGGCATGGTGTGCGTGGCGCCACGGAGACAGGGTAGGGCTAGCTGCTCATTTTTCCGACCGTTTGTGTTTCTATGAGCAAAAGCGTAACCGACGGTATCAATGGTGATGTTACACCGGTAAAGGATGAGACCATAATGCGTCATCAACTCTGTAACGTTCCTCTTGCGTGCGACACTATTTTCCACCTTCGGGTAGACAGAGAGTTGTCTCTTTCTCGGTTCAATCCCTCTGGTTCTTCCTCTCGGCACAATTCTCTACTTTCTGTTCCTACGCAGTTTCAGTTTGATCTCCCCGGTTTTGAGTACCTTGGCGCACAGGTACTCAGAGCGAGCAGATCTCCGAAACTCCGTCCACCTGAGTACCTGCACGGGTAGGTGAGTGATCAAGTTTTTGGGAGCGCATTCGTGACTGCTCTAGGCACTGCCCTCTACATCACGCTCTGCTTCCTCTATATTGACAATCCCTCGGATCATGTCGATCAGTACTGGCAACGGAAGGAAACAACGGCAATGGAGGAGAGAACGGTAACGGCGGCGACAATACCAACAACATCGCCACTGGATCCAGAGCGTTCTCCAAGTATGTATTTGTCATCTCAGTGTTAAACATGTTTGATGCTATTATTCTTGATAGCATATTTATGTTTATCACTATGTTAGAATCACTCATCTTTTCACATGTCATGTTTATTATGCTATATTTTTGGATTAAAACATGTCGAATTATTATTACTAAATTTCCAACAGATCAAAGATAAAAAGTATAATACTCTAGAAAAAGGATAAAAATGACATGTAATTTACAACGGAGAGAGTAGAACCGTGACAATGCTACACGATTAACACTTCCATAGGCTTATTAGCATGTGAATGCTACGCTATCGATTAATTGCGGCATATTAGGGGCTCAGCCTCCACCTTCTCTCTTTACAGGAGAGCAGCGTTTCAACAGTAGTTTTTCCTTTTACTTTAGCAGTTCTTTGTTTTTCCTTTTTTTTCTTGCCTCAAGGAAATGGCCGTCCGATCGATTGCATTTTGTAACTTAAAATTTTAGATCTGCTTTCTTCTAATATACTCCCTCCTTTCCTAAATGTTTGACGCCGTTGACTTTTTTAAATATGTTTGACCGTTCGTCTTATTCAAAAACTTTTGTGAAATATGTAAAATTATATGTATACATAAAAGTATATTTAACAATGAATCAAATGGTAGGAAAAAAATTAATAATTGCTTAAATTTTTTAATAAGATGAACGGTCAAACATGTTTAAAAAAATCAACGACGTCAACCATTTAGGGACGGAGGGAGTATTATTATGCAATCGTTTGCGCGTTAGTGAAAGAAATAATTGCGGCCTATCACCCTATAGTTTGGTGGACGCTAGAAACTCATTTCTAGCGGACATGTTGTAATCAAAAGACACAGCTAGCGATGAACCGAGATGACAGTAGACAGCGTCATTATCGCGCGGCAGTGCATGTTCCTGGCCATTGATCAGTCCGAGCCCACCGCTGATCACCCGCTAATTAAACTCTTTTCAGACATCGCCCCCCGTCGGCCCATGCAGCCTTGCCGGCCGGCCGGCCGGCCGCCGCCCCCCGGCCCCGGCGCCCATGTCGCCGCCACGGCTGTCGTCATCGCGTCGCCGTCGCCGTCACCGTCGCTGCCTCAGATAATTCATTCATTCATTTGGTCATGAATACTTAATTGTTCCTTCCGTTTCATATTATAAACCACTTAATTTTTTTCATTTATTTGGTTATGAATAATTATTTCCTCCATTTCATATTACGAGTCATTTTATTTTTTTTCAAAGTTTGTTTAAGTTTATAGAAAAATATAACAGAGTTTTCAACACAAAACAAATATATTGTCAATATACATTTAGTGCTATATTTAATAAAACTAATTTGATGTTGTAGTTGTTGTTAAATATTTTTATAAACTTGATCAAATATAAATAAAGGTTGGTTTGGAAAAACGTCAAAACGAAACGGGGGAAGTATCTACGATGAAAGACAATTAATCATTTGGTTATTATGATGGGGTTTTGTTTGATCGATTGATACACGTTGGTTGGATGGGATGATTAGTTGATTTGGCTCTGTGCCTTGCTGGAGATCGACAGGTCAGGCCGGGAAATAATTTTGATTCTTGGAGATGATTTTGATCGATCGATGTGACGCGGGGTTTGTGTTTGGTTTGCAGCTGATTGTGATTGAGAAGGTTGATTAGATAGCCGTGGGGCTTACGCGTTTTAATCAGGCTGTACCTCGAGATGGGTTGATCAATGGATCCATGAAAACCGCTAAATCGCAGCCGACTGATTATGCACCCGGTTTCTAAACCTAGCTAGGATGTAAATAGTCATATAGTACGAGATTAATTAGTAGCTCGCATAATGTATCTCTGTTTTTTGTTGTTTCTTTTACATTTGTTCGTATGATTTTTTTTAAGAAGGGCAAAAGTATTGTCACTTTTTGTATCGATAAATAGAGAAGTGTTCGTATGATCGATTTTGTTGTAGCGTTATTTTGTTGTCGTTGTTAGTGTGCCAGATCGTGATAAAGGCTCTATTTTTTTAATAAAAAGATAGTGGAATTTATTCTCATCTTTAGTTAATAACTAATTATTATAGAGGTTACAAATCTTTTTTTTGCGGGGTACAGAGGTTACAAATCTAACGACTGTGAATTACAAATCTTCATATAGATAATTATGTTTAGAGTATAAGTGAATTACCCGATTTTCCTTATCAGTCTTAACTTTTGTGTTAAATTGGTTGGTGCATATAACTCAATAATAATGTATTTTTTTTTGAAGGAAGGCAAAAGCTTTGGTAAAACTTCTACCTATAGTTGGCGAGAAACTACATAGCCATTGTCTCTCTAGAGATTTGAAAATTGTATGTAATCCTTGTCTTTCCCAACCAAAAAATAATATCTTCGAAAACAGCTTCCAATTATTATGCATATCGAATTTTGTCTGCATCACCGTTGGAGACCAACGTTGAACCAAAGCAATCCTCTAATATACTCCTTCCGTCCCAAAAAAATCATTCTAGTATTCGTTATTATAGGAACGGCCCATCCAATGCTAAATTGGTTTTATGTGGGATGGAGGGAGTATTATATACGCTAACTTCAGTTTTTCTTGTTATCAAGCACGATCACTTTGCTAATTTGCATTATATTGCATCCCAAAATTGTCCCTTGGCCAATGGCTAACCGAGCAGCATCTAGCTAGCAATCCAACCAAGCAGACTTGACATGTATCAAGTATTCAACGTACTACAAGGCTCCAGCATCCAACCTGAAACCGGCATGGTGCGTCGCTGATCTGATTCTGACCTTTCCTTAGCTGTCTATGTATGGCTCTGCAGGCAGCAAACCAAGGAGGCTACCATCCGTGCCACCCGTGCTTGGATGCATGCATGAACGTCATGTCCAGCGCCAGCCTCTGAAACTCTGATCCCTGCATTGTCAATCGATGAGCTTCAGATTCGATTCTTTGCTTGTACTACGTATAATCTCTTTCATCATCTCAAGCTGTCAAAACAACCAGTACTCTACTAATGCACTAGTCTCTCCATCTCAAATCATACTAATCTAGTACTCAATTAGAGACAACCTATTACTATAAATTTAGACAATTCTATTCGACACAACCTAATACTAAGAGTATTAGGTTACTATATTTTAAAACAGATGGAATAGTAGTAAGTACTACTCGTTTCATTTTCGTCGTCATCAGTAATTTAGGAGTAGATAGTATAATAACCGTCCGTCATGATAGTTGCAAAGGCGAAGCCAGTGGCACCGTCAAGCTTGAATTACAAAGAGTGTTTGTTAGTGATCGAGAACTTTTTACATTTGATGCCGAGGAAAGTACAGTGAAACCGTTGACGGTGGAGCCTAGGCAATCGCCCGACCTGTCTGAGAGGTGGCTTCTTTCCTATATAGTTGTGGCTAACTTCTTCTCTACGAAGAGAGTAATTATATCTACGGTTCTATATTTATACATTTCTTTTGGGTCCCGAATTCCTGAAAAAGAATTTGGAAACTTTGGTCCGGAAAAAAGTATTAAAATTTAAATAAAATTTGCTAAATTCAAAAAATATCGTGAGAAGTAGCTTCCTGTGCTTGGGATCCAAAATTTCGTTCCGAAATATTGAACCTGACTTATATCCTGAATTAGAGGCCGGCAACAATGGGTGGTCAGAATAAACGGTGTGTGTGATGTTGCATTTAGCGTCAGACAATCAGTTGGGCTAGGCACAGCGCCCAATCTGAAGAAGAATCTGATCCAAGGCTAGCTGATAAATGTTCATGCAGGGACCAGTACCTAACTACACAGCAACATTTACTCCTCCTCCTTAAGATTAATTTTCATCTTTAGTAACATGTAAGGTAGGTGGTATGTGTGGTTAATTTACTGCGTAAAGATCCAGAGACTTTTCTGACGAAAAAGTTGCAAAGATTCAGAGATTGTTGCATCGCCCTTGAGACAGCAGCAAATTCAGTGACCCTTTCATATGAACAAATGGTCGCTTGTTTTTGTCTAAGTAGAGTACAATGGCAATGACAAAGAAGAGACTACTACTTCTAATTAAATTGATCCTAGCTCTAGTACAACTCTTTAATTACTGCATGCATGCCACCAGACAAGGGGATGGACTCGATCCAACATCTCAAACTCATCTGGTGCTTCCACAAACCATCGAATCATATTATTATTCCCTCCTGCTGGACACACACAAACAAGAACATATTAGAATTGATAAAAACAAAAAAAGAACTACTACTAATCTTGAACTTGAAACTCAAGATTGTCATATGCAGTTGGAGTTGTCTGGACTGAAACATCGTAACTAGGTGGTTGTATCTTCTTTGAAGCAAAGGCCGGATTGTTATCCGTTTTCTAAATAATATGCAGTCTCGTGAAATTTGAGTATCCCAACATTGTATTTCACATGGCATTGATTTTGTCATAATGATGTTAGATTACACAAACCTGAGCAATTTTGGAACTCAAGCTGCAGTCTTATGAAATTTGAGTATCTAAGTGTGTATCTTACATGGTACTACTATTTTTTTTTCATAATGATGTTAGATTACACAATCCTGAACTGAAGATAGCAAAAGGACTTCCACTTAACGTTTTGCTACATTACCTATTGTCAATGTAGGGTCCCTTCTCCTAGCCTTTTGTCTCTCACCCTCTCCTCCCTACTGGAAAGAGCACATGTAATTATTGAGCACCACTTGATTGAACAGTTCTTGCCTTGGCTCCCCTACTGTTTGCATGATGTAGCTGCCATTGTCCTGAAAAAGTTAAGTATGCAGCCTCAGCTATGAACAGTGATTTGGAATTGAGAACCTGAATGGATCATATCTCATAGGGAAGAAATGAACAGAGGGCCAAAGAAACAAACCAACCTGGGAGAGAGAGTTGTTGTTGCTGCCTCCCTGGACTTGAAGTGTGTAGGGTGTAGGAGAGGTGTTTGATGTGTCCATGATGGCATGAGATTGAGCTGGGCTACTACCTCTGTTCAGGACAGAAGCTGGTATTGCAACTGCCTCATGGAACATTCCTTCCATCTTCTGATGAAAGAGAAAAGAGTCACACTGATTAAATTGTGAGCACATTAACATGAAAAATTATGTAGTTAATAGTACTCCAGAACATTTGTTTGAGTTGTTTCTGACCTGAGAGTGGTCACTGAAAGCATCACTGTCTATGCCAAACCCATACAGCACAGGGCTCAGAGATGCAATCCTCATGGAAAGGAACTGTGTCACAATCAGAGGTAGAATATGTTATAGCTAAGCAAAAACTCTTGTACCTTTAATTTTTTTTTTGTATTCTAGTCATGTTAATTACCTCAACTTGGTTCTGTAAGGACTGCACATAGTTGATGATCTCATCCAAAATGAGAGCCTTTCCAGTGACCTACACAGATAAATGATTTTTTTTCACTTTCAAAGATAGTATCAAACATATTAACATATACAAAAAAAAATTGTCACTGCAAATACCACTAGTTTAGTTAGTAGTTAACTAGTGATCTAACCTTGTCACAACCAGGGACCAGAGCCTGCAGCATCCTCATCCTCTCACTGATCCTTTCTCTCCTCACCTGAAGAAAATGCCAGAGCAGATAGCAAAAAATGAGTCCCAAACAACCAAAGCTAATAGCTGCACAAACCACAAGCAAAAGATCAAAGTTGAGGAAGAAATTTACCCTCTCTGCAAGGCTGTGGCTATCTGTTGCTTGCCCTCTCCTTGCCCTGACATGGATGAACCCCTGAGGTGCCTCCTCCTCCATCTGATCCCTGCTGTGTTTCTTCCCTCCCCTCTTCCTGCCATTCTCCTTTGCCTCCTGATTGTTCAACACAACATCATATGATGAAACAAAGAAACATGAGCCAAGAAATTCATCTTGGAAAGTTATCTGAAGCTGTATTCTTGAAAGGAAAAAAAAAGAGATTCAGAAACTGTTTTTTCACTGTCATGCTCATGTGCTTTTCTACCTTGGAGTGAGCAGAGTTGAGGCTGGCAGTGTCTTCTTCCCTGGGCTTCCTCTTCTTGTCCTGTGGAGAGGTGTCAAGAACCACAGATGAGGTCTCCATTGAGGCATCTTCAGGGATGGCTGGAGCTGTGGTGGTTGCTGCTCCTCCATGGCTGCCATGGCAGAAGAGGAAGCCATTGTTGGTGATGAGGCCATGCTCCATCTGCTGTGGGAGGTGTGAGAAGCCTGCCATTGCCAATGCCCTTGGTGTCCTAGATGCTACTACCTAGCTAGAGCTAGAGATACCTATATGGTGGTGGAGTTGCTTCTTGTTCTTGGTGTCTGAACTGAAAGATGAAGCTCTCTAGATTGCAACAAGTTGGCTCCTTGGTGACCCTGCTATTGGTTTATATAAAAGTTGGGGAGAGGGGGGATTGATAAGACCAAATCATTATAAATCAATTAATTGATGGATAGGTTGGCAATGGGCAGTGTTAGGAAAGGGCCCCTGTGTCCCTTTGCTGTAGGATGAAATTGTAACTGAAGAAAATGCCCATCATTTTATTTTGTATATACTGATAGGTAGGTTGGCTCCTCTTTCTTTTCTTCTCTTTACTAGGAGTATTTGCTAGTCAATTAGTTGTCTCATTGTGTGTGTAAGCACCTTTTTTAAAAAAAAATGGCAGCAGCTAATTATGTAATAAGAACACACATTCAATTTCGTGTGTTGACCATATATAAATTATAAAATGGTACATTGAATTATTATTTGCTCCACGTCTCTAAAAATACATTTTCTCAAGAAACTTTATTTTACTGTGTTGCTTAGATCACTTATTCTAAGTTATTTGTTAAGTTTATTTTTAAATATATTTAATTTATCTCTATAATCAAGTAGATATATAATCTGGTAAATAATCTATTTAAGCAGTTGCAATTGCTTGAGTTAATTGAAAATATCATACTTCCTGGTGTTTGCAGGAGAAAAATAGCTCAAGATATCCAACAAGACTTCTTTACTTAAGTTCATAGCTTTCAACAGAATTTTGTATACATTTTCTGCTAGGATATAATATGCAGAGATCCTTCATTTCCTGTACATGTTGCAAATCTTCAGTCTGTGAAGGAGAAAGCTTTCAGATGTGCAGACCTAACAAAAACATAAAGCCTGTGAATCATTAACTGCAAATTGAATCCTCCTAGCAGTAAACATTAACTATGCTGGAGTGTTGGAGTAACCGATTTCCTGATAGCAGTCAAAGGAGGCTGCTTTCTTCTGGGTGGTGAACTGCAAAAACGCAGTCCTACGATACAGTGCCAGTTCGTGGCCCCGTTTATCGTTTTCATCCGTTTTTGGTCGGCAACACAATTTAATTTAACACTGCATATATGCCATCAATCGATTAATTAGTTGAACATCTCCCTAATGTTGACCAATCTTTGATTTAATTTGGTGATTGTAAGAGAGGGTTTGGATCGGAGAGATCTAATTAAGCACTACCTCGCGTGTTATTGCGGGATATTTAAAATTAACATGCGACGATGGCTTTTAGGAGTTCAGTGTTTTGAAAATATTTAGTTTTGAATCCATAGTGGATATGATTTTTCAGGAATTTAGTTACGAGTACCTAAGGGCTAAGGTTAAGCTGAGCTAGCTCGCTAAGCTAACTGTATACGGCTGCGGTACGTTCAGAGATAGCCTGGAACTGGACTAGCAGTTTAGTACTCTACCATACTTAACTAGCTCTCACACAGCAAGTGCACTAGTACAGTGCAATTAACACTGGTAGTTTTTAAGATTAAAAAAACACGGGTAGTTTTGTAAGGAGATTGATATTCCTGTGCGTCACTCTCTATGATTGTCACACCTAGCTACTATGTTCCTATGAAAGGGTTGGGAATCTTTTCCATTTGCACATAAAACGGAACAACGAATTAGCATATAATTAATTAAGTATTATAAAAAATTGAAAAATAGATTGATATAATTTTTAAAGCAACTTCCATATAAAATTATTTTTATTAAAAAAAATGTGCACACGAAAAACAAGTGTAAAAGTTTTTTGAAAAGAATGAGTATAAAAATTAGGAAAGAAGAGAAAATAACACACCCAATAAGTAGTTCACCTACATATATATATACGAACTGAAACAATATAGGGCGAAACCAGGAATAGGATAGTTAGGGCTAAAACCTTACTCCTCACTCTAAATACCTATTAAAATCACTCCGAATTTTAAAATATGAGAAGAAAAAATATAAACCCTATAGTAATTACATTAATTGAGTCCTGGGCTTTAAAAATTTTTGGCTCCACCACTGTAATACATCATGCCTGGCCAGCAAAGGGTTGGGATGCAAGAGAATTTCCTGTCTTCTCTCGCCAGCTTAAGTTTTATGTTGATTGATATATATAACTCAATATGTTATTAAAGACAGAGACCTTGAATTTAAATCTTGATTAGCACATAATTATTAAAAAAAATGCATCACATTTCTATTTTATGCAAATACAAGTGAATTGCCTATATTTTTTCATCATCCTAAGTTTTAGGTTGAACTGTTTGCTGCATATAACTTAATATTTTTTTAAGAGTCATATGCCACTCGATGCAAAGTACATCAATTCTAGATGCATATTGCATACATTTCCAGCAAGGAGATGTGTTAGATGTGCTCTTAAAAAAAGAAGAAAGGGAAAAAGCAATGAGCTAGATGTCAATGCATACATGGACCCATAAGGGCAAAAGCAGATGCAATTCGATGTGTATATAAGTATATATGGGGCACGATCGAGTTAACTGAAGTACACAGTGAAGAAGCTGACAAAGGCATGGATGCATATATAGTGCTGTAGCATGCATACATGAATGCATGCACTAATAAAGTAGCAATGGAATGGATATAAGCTGGCCGTAGGGGCCCGGGTATATATGCATACATGCTGCATAAATATAAGACTCTATCATTTTGATATATCTAGCTTTGGTAGTTTTTGTTGCAAGCTGGTGTCACCTAGTAGCAAGCAATTGCATAAGATAGTATATGCCATTAAGCTTGCGTTGGTTCAATAATTTACATCTGGCTTTATCGCCCCTAGCTTCTATGTTTGTACAATATGTCGTTGTGCTGGATTTTTCTTTTCAAAAACACCTTTATATACATATAAGGGTTCACAATTGATTTATCTCAGTAGAAGTTTTAAAAACATTATCAATTTTTAGCCTCCTTACATGACACTAAATTAAGTTTGCATATGTTTTAAGTTTTTTTTTCAAGATATTTTTTGTGTGGCGTGAGAGGGGAAACGCTTTAAGACAATAGTATAAATTATTTTGTGTAGCATATGAAAAATGATTTACATTAGAAAAAGAACAACACATTAATTGAATAAAGGTGTTATATGTAACATATTCACAGGTTGTCCATATGACCTCTCCATGCTCGAATCATTGTCCCATTCTTGTCAGGTTTACCAGGGATACTTCTCATGCGAATCGCAAGAAGTGTCTGCATTATGAAATATGTTGGGAACATGAACCTGCATCAACGGAAGTGATTGGTGATTCATGGCTAGAAGCTGGGGAGAAACAACATTTGGGTGATATGAATTGTGCTTTGAGGAAGGTAATGTCGGCCTTGCAAACTTGGAGTAGAACAAAATTCAGAAATGTTGGTAGATGTCTAGAGAAGGCCAGAAAGAAGCTTGCTGAATTAGTAGAAAGGGATGCAGACCGCAGAGAAATTCGCATTGCGTAAGACCATATGAATGAATTGTTGTATAGAGAGGAGATGCTTTGGTTACAACGCTTGCGAATTAGCTGGCTGAAAGAGGGTGATTGGAATACTCGCTTTTTTCATAACAGAGCAAGATGGAGAGCGAAGAAAAATAAAATCTCCAAGTTAAGAGGCCCGGATGGCACTGTTTATAGTGCGACAAAAGACCTTGAGAATCTTTCCACGGATTATTTCAAGGATATGTTCACAGCAGACCCTACTGTTGATCATTCTAGAGTCACAAGGCTGTTCCAGTAGAAAGTAACTGCCGAAATGAATGATTCCCTCTGCAGGAATTTCTCTGATGAAGAAATCGCAGATGCTTTGTTTCAGATTGGTCCACTTAAGGCGCCTGGGCCAGATGGTTTTCCGGCTCGCTTCTACCAACGAAATTGGGGCCTGATCAAGAGTGATGTGGTTAGGGCTGTCAAGGAATTCTTCCACACTGGGATCATGCCAGATGGTATCAATGCGACTGCAATTGTGCTTATTCCGAAGGTTAATCAACCAATGGAGTTGAAAGAGTTCAGGCCTATAAGCCTATGTAACGTGATTTACAAGATTGTCTCCAAATGCTTAGTAAATAGGCTTAGGCCTATCCTGGATGATTTGATTTCTCAGAATCAAAGTGCTTTCGTGCCAGGAAGGATGATTACAGACAATGCCCTATTAGCTTTTGAATGCTTTCATTCCATCCAAAGGAACAAGAGCCCTGGAAAAGCTGCTTGTGCCTACAAGCTTGATCTCTCTAAAGCGTATGATCGGGTTGACTGGTCGTTTTTGGAGCAAGCAATGTATAAGTTAGGTTTCACTCATCGGTGGGTCAGTTGGATAATGACGTGCTTGACCTCGATGAGATATTCAGTCAAACTCAATGGAACCTTACTGAGTACATTTGCTCCTTCTCGCGGCCTTCACCAGGGTGATCCGCTTTCTCCGTTCTTGTTTCTTTTTGTTGCTGATGGGCTATCACTCCTGCTGGATGAAAAGGTACTTCAAGGGGCAATCACCCCGGTGCAAGTTTGTCGGCGGGCGCCTGGAATCTCCCACCTTCTGTTTGTGGATGATACTCTACTCTTTTTCAAGGCTGATAATGGCCAGGCTAATGTGATCCGAGAAGTCCTTGACGACTATGCTGTAGGAACTAGCCAGTTTATTAATCCAGCAAAGTGCTCCATGCTGATTGATGATATTACTCCCGCTAGTGTCCAAGTTGAAATCAGAAGTACACTCCAAATCGTCGGCAATGGTTTTGAAGATAAATATTTGGGTTTTCCAACCCCGGAGGGGAGAATGAACAAAGGCAAGTTCCAAAGTCTTCAGGAGAAGATTTGGAAGAGAATAATTATGTGGGGAGAAAACTATCTCTCTAGTTGAGGCAAAGAAATCATGCTAAAAGCAGTCATACAAGCTATCCCAGTGTATGTTATGAGTATCTTCAAGTTACCGGACTCGACTTGTGAAGATTTAAACAAGTTGGCTCGGAATTTCTGATGGGGTGCGGAACAGGGAAAAAGGAAAACACATTGGAGGGCATGGAAGTATTTGACGAAGGCCAAACAGTATGGAGGCTTGGGATTCAAGGATTTTAAATTGTTCAATCAAGCACTGCTAGCTAGACAAGCCTGGCGCCTTATTGTGAACCCGGATAGT